GGCAAATTGGGTGAGCCAGAGAAAGAGGATTGACCTAGCTGTCTCCGCCGCCGAGGACCACAGGGAATCGCCGGGAGGAGGAGCCCTTGTCTTCCTTCGAGCACCAGCGGAGACAGAGGGGCGGCGGGTTTCGATTTTTGATTAGGTGGATGGACGAAGAGGAGAGAGGGAGGGATCTGTAGAGAGGCACGGGATCTCGGCGGCGGCGAAGGGCAACTCCTCTCGGCGGCGGAGCAGGAGATGGGGCGGCGGCGGTGGAGCGGGAGACGAGGGAAAGAGAGAGGCCGCAGCGGGAGGGGACGGATCGAGAGGATGGGCGGGGTACATTTTTTTTCTAGGTATGGGGGAGGTGGGACGATAAAAACCGAAGAAAAAAACCCAGCGAACGTGAGGACGAAAAAAACCCAGCGAAAAATAACCGACGGACTATTCATCAACTGCTCTATTAGGAGTAGAGACTCTGAATAGTCTTAAACATCTCTCCCTTGATTTGCTCAAAGGGAAAGTTTGACCTGTCGGAAATTGATCGTTGCAACGCGCGCGCGTCCAGACATGGACGCGGAGCACGACAATCGGCAAGATGATACGGTGCGGACGCCCGGCTGCATAGAGAGCAAGGTGGGACTAACACAACATGAGATATTATTGTCCAGTTGGTGCCTTAGTTGTTACCTGAGGTTGTAAGTTTGATCCTCTCTGGCTCCTTTTTTTTTGGGCTTATATTTATCAGGGCTTCCAAGAAAGCTCACTTGGTGGCCCATAATGTAGAGGCCCAGCTGAGCGTGCAAAACACATGCAGCCGACAAATATGAAGAAAACGAACCACAACAGGTAAAAACAACGACGTACGAAGAAACAGGAAAACCCTATTTGACGCTCTCTGCATCAAAGTGTCTGGCGATCGCACAGGGGCGCGACAAGTTGGGCCGGCCCATAAACCACGTTTGCATCACTTGCCAGTTCCGATTTTGTGAAACTTCTAGAAGATTTCCAACCGGTTTTTCTAGTTTGGGAACTTCTAGAAGGTTCCTTTTACGGTTTGTTCTTTTTTTGTTTTTTGCTCCTTTTCTGTTTCTGTTTCTTTTTTTCTTTATTCTTTGTTTTTGTTCTTTTCTTTTACAAAAAATCCTACCATTTTAATAAATTGTTCACAAATCCATAACAAGTTTTGGACATTAAGAAAATGTTTGCATTTCAAAACAATTTTTCAATAAATTCCGAAGCATGTTACCAAATTTCAAAAAATGTTCCCGTTTCTAGAATTTGTTCAAATATCCAAAAATTATTCCTGAATTTCAAAAAATATTCCCATTTTGAAAAATTTGTTCACAAAATAGAAAAATGTTCAGGAATTTCAAAATGTGTTCCATTTTTTCAAAGATTGTTCTAGTTTTCAAAAAACTCTCATTTTTGGAAAATTGTTACCCAATTCAAATAATGTAGTTTCCTTTTCTTTGTTTTTTCCTGTTATCTTTTTTTTATTTCTCTGTTTGTTTTTTCTTTTGTTCTGCTTTTTTCATTAAAATGTTCAAAATTTGTTCGTGTTTCTATAAATTGTTCAGAAGTTTCAAATTTTAGTTCTCAAAATTGAAAAAATGTTTGTGTTTTTGCAAAAAGTGTTTAGAAAATGAAAATTAAAAAATGTGAAAAATATTGGAAATTTGTTTGCCTTTCCAACAAGTGCCAGGATTTTTCAAATAAAAGATTGCTTTTTTTATAAAAAAATGTTCGTGTTTCAAAAAATTTGTTCAAAATTTTTAAAAAATGTTCTGGATTTCAATTTTTGTTCATGTATTCAAAAAATGTTTGTTCTTTAAAATTTGTTCGGGATTTTCAAAATCGTTCTCCGTTTCAAAATTTGTTCTCAAATTCAAAAAATGTTTGTGCTTTAGAAAATTGTTCACAAATTCTGAAAAGGTTCACATTTTCAAAAAATGTTTTGGGAAATTCAAAATTTGTTCGCGATATCATAAATTGTTCCCTTTTGTCAAAACAAAATCATACGTTCAAAAATTTAACTAAAATTTGGAAAATGGTAAAGGATTTTTTTCAAACAGTGTTAACTCTTATACTTTTGTTAGTTCTTCTAGTTTTTCTCTGTACATTGGTCCACTAAGCTCTTCCATTGTGGTGGCTAGTACCCAGCGAGCACAAGTAGGCAGTCCGGAGTTTGATTCCCAGCTATCGCGACCTACCTTTTTAGCGATCTTTTTTCCACTTGGTTTTTGCAGCGCACTGCAATGGGCCGGCCCAATCGATGCACCACGAGCGATGTGCCTATGCGAAAGCGCGGCAATTGGACGCAAAATGCGTCACATAGGAACTCCCGAAGAAACAGACGAAACATCCGAGGTAAGAAGCGATCACCCCTTCAATATTACAAGCCCCACACATGGGCTGGCCCATGAACACATAAGTGGAGAAGGACTTTGCCTTAGAAAAAGGATGGAAAAAGTGAGCAGACTGGGGATCAAACCCCCTGGCTAGAAAAGCTAGTCGTTAGCCACTATGTTGCTTGTGATTCTGCTATTTATATCATTATTATGCCTATAAAAAAAGAAGCGTGACTTCGACTTTGGAAACAAAAAAAGAATCTTTTTAACTTATGGGTGCATTGTGGGTAATTTATAGCAACTTTGAAGGTATTTATTACGACGTATGGACTGAAGTATTAGCCCCTTTATTATTAGATAGGTTAGGTAAAGATAAGGGCACTGCTATGCGTCGGGCCGACAGATCTTTTTAAAATATCCGCCGCCTCGCGAGACATCAAATATAGTGGATTGAGCGGCGAGCATCACCCTCTACCACTTGCAATAAAGGTCGTGTTGCAGTAATTTTCTGCAACACGAGACATGTTGCAGAAATTTTCCCAAAACATAGGTCAGGTTGTAAATTTATTTTTTCAGCAGAGCTCGTGTTATAGTTTTTTTTTTGCAACAGAGCTCTTGTTACAGGTTTTTCTGCAACAGAGAGGTCGTGTTACAGTTTTTTTTTTGCAATAGAGGTCTTGTTACGATTTTTTTTTTTGCAATAGATGCCTTGTTGCAATTAAATTGTTTTTGAGATAGAGGTTTTGTCGCAGGTTTTTTTTTTGCAACAAAGGTGTTGTTGCAGAAAGGAGAGATCATGGGGCCGGTTCACCATGTTATGTGGGACGCCTAGCGCGCAATCAAGGCGGCAGACGCAAGCTTGTTAATCCGCCGGCTGAACCATAGCGTTTCCCTAAAGCTAAAGATAAATATTAATGAATTAAAATTATATTTTTTTAGGGAAAAAGAAATAAAAGGCAAAAAAACAACAAATCGTACATAGCCTACTGGACCTAGCGAACGAACCTAGTTTACCCACGAGTGAGTCGGCCCATCCCAGAACCTAGTTACCGCTGTGTCCCCGCTCTCTATCGCCATCGCTCCCGGCCCCCCGGCGAGTCGCAACTCTCGCATTCTCACGGGAAGTCCTTCCTTCCTCCTCCTCGCACGCTGCCGTGCTCGCACCGCATCCTCGCTTCCACGTCCCCTCCGTTCCACGTGCACGCTGGCATCTATTTCTCTGGCACAATGCCCACCTTCTCTGCCCAGCGTCGGCCGCCTCGGCAGCAGCGCGCTCAGGCCGTTCGGCGGAATGCCGACCCGGGTGCCTTTTCTTGGACTGCGACGGTTGCCGTCGAGAACCCAGGTTGGCTCGTAGAACAGGCCTGGGAAGCGTTCTGATGCGTACTTGTATACGCCGGAGGGGCGACTAGCGAGCTACGTTGCAAGGCCCGTGGTTTCTTGGCAGCGTGAATCCTTCGACATGGTACGTACTACCTAAGGTGCCATTCCTCTCGTGTTCTGCTAGCGACTACATTTTGTTGTGCGTGCTGAGTTATGTACATTCTGAAGACAGTACTTGTATTACATTATCAAATTCTCATTCCATTTGTTCAACGGGTGGACCAACCAAACGTTTGGTGTCTAGTAATTCGATAATTCACCTCCAACTCTGGTGGTTTCTCGAAACATCTGATACAAAGCAAATGGGGGACAGCACATAACATCTGCACTTTAATGGACATCATTTTCAATGCTTATCTGTACTTGAATGGAAACCATTTGGAATGTAGCAGTGTGAATATTTCAGTTCTTTGAAACTGAATTCAGACATCTGCTGTTTTGTGATTATTGTAAGAAAGCACGTGCTAATTAATTATCTAGTTCTCTGAAACTTATAGTGTGTTAAGTTTTAAGTGATGTGCAGGCTTGTACGCAAGATCAAGTGAGAAAATTGTCCTTTCATGTATACTTTTTGTTGACACCGGACCACAAGTGTCCCCTCTGAAAATGATGTGTCCTTGTGATACCCCAACCTTTTCTTCAGAAATTTGTAGTCACAAGTGTAGAGCGTGTGCACAACTTATAAGTTACCAGTGTAGAGCTTGTGCGCAATCTTTTCTCCTTTTGTTTTGTTTTATGTGTAATGGCATGGTTTAGTTTAATGCAACATATTGTTGTATGTGTGAACAGTAGAGGTTCAGTGCTATATACTTGCTCATCTTGGTGTTGGTAAGGATTTCAACTAAAAATCCTAGTGCCAGCCAAACATAAAATTTGGATTTGGAATCAGGATTCACCAAATGAAATCTGGATGTAGATTTCATTCCATTTCATTTCTACCAAATGAAATGAAATCTGGGGAGCCAAACGAGCTGTGAAGGAAAAGGCATTTCGCATGTGTAACTTTGTCCCATGCTTTACATAGAATATTGTATGCTTGTGAAACTTAAGTAGTAACTAAGAAACATAGGGTAATTAGATGAATTTTCCAAAAACCTTTCCTTAAAGAAGTACTAAAGCTCAAAATGACAACCTGTTAGGCTCTGCACAAAGTACAAAACAAACTCTAAGGTTTATCAGAAGTAGTGGTTTCACTGAAACTACGAATGTTACATGTACATCATGCACGAAAATACCAGATTATCCATCATGTGTAGTTCATTTTATCTTGGCTGATCTTTGCATCTATGGGTCAGCCTCTGTACTGGCCAGGGAGGAGACCACTTCTATGATAGCTGGCCTTCTGAATTGATTGTTATCAACACACTTGCAAGCGGTTTCAAGCACTTTCAGCATTTGCTCTTCATTTCCTGTTCGTCGAAGTGTTGGATCCAAGACTTCAGTCTGCTTACCCTCAGACCTCATCTGTAGAACCCATGGGACAAGTTCTTTTGATGTACTCAGGACTGGAACAGGTCTCCTTCCTGTGAGCAGCTCAAGCAAGACTACTCCAAAACTGTATACATCACCTCTTAAAGTAGCAACCCATGCTTGCCCATACTCGGGGGGGATGTAACCCATCGTGCCGACCAACTCAGTTGTAACATGAGTTTTGTTGGGAAGGATCAATCTGGCTAGCCCAAAATCGGCAACATAAGCTTTGAATTCTTTGTCCAGTAGGATGTTACTGGACTTTATGTCACGGTGGACGATATGAGGCTTGCAGACATCATGAATATAAGAAAGACCCAAGCTTGCTCCTTGTGCGATCTTGAGCCGCGCCGACCAGTCAAGAAATGAGCTAGCATCATCATCTCTGTTATGGAGCCAGTCATCCAGGCTGCCATTCTCCATATAGGAATATACGAGAAACCTTAAGTTCCCCTGAATGCAGTAACCCCACAGCGGTACAAGGTTTTCATGTTGTGCCATGGAGAGAGCATCAACCTCTGCAGTGAACTCCCTTTCCATCAGACACATTTCATCGTAGAGTTTTTTAATTGCAAGCTTGGAACCATCAGGTAGCTCTGCCTTGTAGACTAATCCATAACCTCCACATCCTATGATGTTCTCCTTGTCAAAGTTGTTTGTAGCTTTCACAATGTCGGTGAATTTGAGCTTGTTTTCTTCTCCCTTTCCTTGTGGCATCCGCATCGCCACTAGTGTTTGCACTGAACTGGAGTAGAATGAAGTTGCTTCATTACCTCCGTTATTCTCCCTTCGATTTTTTGCTATAAAACCTTTCATCCGGTCTGAGACAAGGAGACGCCCCAGCAACAAAAGAACAGCAATACCTCCAAAGAACACACCAAATGCAATTGCAAAAATGGCCTTCTTATTGCCTTGTTTTCTGGGAACTAAAGGTGTTGATCCTGGACGACATTTATGAGTGAGCATAGAGCCACAGAGCTTTTGATTCCCATCGAAACTAGAATTTTGAAATGTATTAAACTGGCCTCCAGATGGAATAGGCCCTTCTAGGTCATTGTGTGAAATGTTGAATGCTGAAAGGAAGTTCAGGTTGTTCAATGCAGCTGGGATACCACCTGTGAGATAGTTGCTGGACAAATCTAGCTCCTGCAGTTTTGTGAGATTGCATATTGATTGTGGTATCTGTCCTGTGAAGTCGTTGAAGCTCAAATTGACTGACAGAAGGCCTTTCAATTGACCAATATCCAGGGGTATCTCACCAGTGAATTTATTGTTGCTTAAATCCAGCACTTTAGGGAATGCAGTGGGTACACGGTATTGAAGTGATTGGCCTTTATAAACTGGTAGCTCGAAGACACTTGGGTCCAAATGGGCTTCAGTCGTTTCTGACTTCAGCATATGCATATCCATCAGTGCTGTTGGAATTTCTCCAGTGAGGCTGTTGTTTCTTATGTCTAGATAGAAGAGGAAATTTAGGCTGCTGATCCAGTCAGGTATCGGTCCAGTAAGTTGATTGCTATGTAAAAATAGCATTTCCAAGTTTTTTATCTTTGATAACCAACGAGGTATTTCCCCCAATAATGAGCACCTATTTATCGCAAGAACCTGAAGATTCTGAAAACCATCAAGTATGTCATCATCTGGCATGAGCTCTCCCCTGAAATTTCCCCCGAGAAGCAGGGTGGTAAGGTTCCTGCAGCTCTTAAGGATCCGAAGTGCATTTGTGATGTTTCTGAAAGAATTTTCAGCAAGTGATAGGAAGCTGAGGTACTTCAGATCACCAATTCGTGGTGAAAGCTGTCCATCTAAATGGTTGCTTGCCAGTCGCAGTGCAGTCAGACTGGTGCAAGAGTATATACTTTCTGGAATTGTGCCAGTGAAGTTGTTCTCCAGAAGGTCTAGTGTTTTTAGATTGGGCAGGTTGGAGAAATTGACATTGGAGAGCTGACCACTGAAATTGTTGCTCTTGAGGTCAATTGTTATCAGATTCGTGCAATTGCTCACAGCAAATGGCAGCTCCCCTGACATATTGTTGTTGTTCAAATGGAGCTCCTGCAATTTCTTGAGCTGACCTATGGAATCTGGAATCTTGCCACTGAAATTGTTTCCTCCTAGATCAAGAGTAGACAGATTTCTGAGGTTGAATATGTGTGTACCATCAAGATCTCCATGCAATTCATTGTTAGAAAAGGACAGGTATTCCAACGAAGTAGCATTGAAGAGTTCATCCGGGATTGTTCCACTGAGGTCGTTATACCCGGCCCTGAGCTCTCTCAGCTTTGAGCAATCACCAAGGCCTTGGGGGATGCTGCCACTGAATTTGTTTAAACACAGATCAAGCACAGAAAAGGATGGAGAGGTGTTACAGAATTGAGTTGGTATCTGCCCACTAAAGCTATTATTACTGGCATTGAGCTCAACCAGATTCTCCATTGCTTTCCATATGGTGGATGGGAACTGTCCTGTAAACAGGTTGCTTGAGATGTTCAATACCTTGAGTAGCTGGGCAGGAGCCGAAGTTGGCAGCTCGTGCAGCGTTCCGCTGAACTGATTAAAGCTGATGTCAAGGACAACGATGCTGCTGGACGATACCAACTCCAGTGGTAGTCCACCGGACAGAGCGTTGTGGGAGAGGTTAAGGTGCTGCAGCCCTGTTAGATTTGCAATGGACTTTGAAATATGCCCCTCAAGACCCTTTGAAGCCAGCAAGACATCGGTGATCGTCCCATCTTTCTGGCAGGTGATCCCTTCCCACTGGCAGCAATCCGTGTCATGCTGCCAGGACGCAGCGAGACCACCGTCTTGTGAAAGCCCTCCTAGGAACTGGAGAAGGTAGCCCTTCTCCTGCTCCGTGCAGCAACTCGTAGGAGAGGCCAAGCAGATCAGCAGCACGAGAGCAAGGCCAAGGGAAGGTATGTGCAAACTCTTGCTGTATGTCTTGTTGGGAAACTGGAGTGTCTGCATGGTTTATTGGTGGAACTAGCACAGGAACCAGAGCTTAAGTTGTGCCCTGACTGGATGCATCAATGGTGATCTAATCATGAAAGAGCATGATGGGAAAGAAAGAAGCAGATCTTGCTCCCATTTGTTCTGTCCCTTGTAGTGGTAGTCAGCACGATTGGATTTTACACAACTGCCCCCAGCCCACCAGGCAGCTTCCAAGTTCACACTGATGTTTCACCATCGGTTGCATGCTGGAATCTACTGAAAAGTCAATTGCCGAACACCTTCCGTACAAAAAAAACTGCATTGTAGATTTTCTAGTCCTCCTTGACTCAATCCTCGATGATTTTTTACAGCGTGCCTTAGTTTAATTGCCCTGACATCACTTCTCTAACTGGCTTCACTATTTAAATCTCACCTGTTTCCCACTAGCACTGACCTAAACTATTACTTCTTGAGGCATCATTTGCCTTTTGGGAACAGAAGGAGGCACGTTTCTGCGAAAACGGTTGCTGAAGATATGCAGGAAATTCAGCCGCCGAGATAGTGCACGGGTAATTATTACCGGAAGGTGCTTGTGCTTGAGCTTGAGAGTGATCATTGGTGTCTCTGTCAGTGTGTGAACAAACCCAAGTGGAGGGCAAGAAGAAGTGCAATTTTCTTGCTTAATGGACGGGGTGGATGATTGACCTGCTGGGTAATCTGTTCTCCGTTCTTTCGCAAAAAAAAAAAAAAAAAAAAACTGTTCTCCGGTTCATCCTCTTGACCTGACGCGTTAACTTTCCCTTATCACGCGTGCTAGCTTCTTCTGATGTTTACATTTGATGTTAGTTTCCATTGTACTGGCTCACACTTGCGCACTATTGTGGATCATGGACTGTGGTTTTCATCTGAATTTGGAGGCAGTTCAAAGTAAACAGGATAGCGTGTGAGTCTGGCAGTGGCAGGCCGGTTGATCACTTGGGGTTGTGGGAACGCTTGTGCTGTGTGGACATGGTCCTTTGGAACCGAACCGCGTATTAGTTATAGCGTTAATACTTTATTAGCTGAATATAATTGGTGTTGTATAAGAATCACGTTTCTTTTTGGGTACAAGTTTAGTTTAGTTATTGGATGATAATGATGTGCTGATGTTAGCTGCACTGTATCATCATTACTCCCTCCATTTCATAATGTAAGATGTTTTGCATGCTAACTAAGCTTACAAAATCGTCTTACATTACAGGACGGAGGGAGTATTTCTATTTCTTATATGCCCCGCTCTATCATTGATCAGTGTGTATGTGGTTAATGATTTTCCACCCTGATTGAAGAAAAATATAGCGAGTGGCTGACGCTCTACATGATTAAGGCTCACTCCATAGTTGGCAGTGCATCCCCTTTGTTGTCATGTTTAGCATGTATCAGTGATGTCTCTGTTTTGTGCTGTTGGGTGCAGCAAGGCAGGATTTGTGCATGTTACAATTATCAGATACAGCGCGGACTGAAGAACATAACACAAGAGACTGGCAACAGTTTATTATTTGTTTATTTATTTATTTTGCGTTGAGCCACATGTTGTATTTGGCGTGTCAGCCTATGGACCAAGCATGTATTTCAACACGTCAATGCGTCGCGTTGATGTAGGTAGACCATGAATTTAGCGCGTCATTTGGTCAAGCGTGAGCGCTTGAGTCTGTACTGTATTAAAAAAAGTGTGTATTTCGCTCGGTCTTGGCGGCGTGCTCTCTCGTTACTAGAGGAGCTTAGGAAAACAAAAGAAAATTGTTTTTCTCCATAGCGCCTTCACACCCACAAAAATGGCAGCGTGGCCACTGGCCCGACTACCTGACGATAGTTCTCAGACCGTTACTTACTCCCTCTGTCCCATAATATAAGAGCGTTTCTGAAACTAGTGGTGTCCAAAACGGTCTTATATTAAGTTGTTTGACGTGCTTGTACGTATGCTCCCAACGCGTAGTTGATTGCATCGTCTTGTTTGTTGTCGTAAGTGTTTTGAAAAGGCATGCCACCTTATATCTTCTTCTTTCTCTAGTGCGTTTGTCTTGAGTCTTGACCGGGCTAATTTTACCATGGAGAATAAATAGGTTTTGGTTCTTTTTTTCTTTCGTTGAGAAAAAAAAATATAAGCATCTCCGGGCTCTAGCCCAGGCCAAGCCTCCAAGGCCTAATTAATAGTTATCCCGTTGATTCCTGACCAGTGTCGTCCACCAGCAGCCCGGCCCACTTGCAACACTCGTCTACTTCCCGCGATTCATGTGTGTTGTTTAGTACCACATCGCCAACTTCGGCCAACACCCCACAGCATAAAACGTGGCGCCCGGGAGGCTGTTCCACCGTGCGGCAAGCACGGTAAAGCAACAGCCTATTGAGCTACCCCGACAATGTAACTACTCTCTCTATGATTCAAAACACAGGCCTTGTTGATGGATTACGGAAACTAACCATGAAAGCCCGTCGTCCTTGCAGGGGCGGCCTTTTTTTTTAATCATTGGTCAAGTTTTTTCTCCCACGACCTTGTCAAATGTCAACAGTTTACGCACAAATTCGACATGCTGCATGTTTGTTTTTAAAAAAAACTCCGGATGGGTTCATCAAACATTATGATAGTACAAAGAACATCGAAAGTAAAAATGATTACATACATGTTCATAGACCATCAAACAACTATAAGCATTGAAATGAATCAAAGATGTGCCGTTGTCATCGCCCCTTCCCCAACTAAAAACACTGTTGAAGTAGATAGTCAAAAAGTCATCATGCTAAGGCCCGAACGGACCAATGTAGGCCCGTCGATGGGGCGGGCCAAATGGCCGACCGCACAGGGCCCCCCAAAAGTTTTGGGGCCCCAAGTCACTAGGTATTGGGTATGTAGAATCAAGAAAAGAAAAAACCCACCATGAAGGCGAGCAAAACGAGCAGAGTCATCGCCCGCAACCTAGTAATCGAGCCCCGTTCTTTTTTCTTTTTTTTTTTTAGGAAATTGCCAAGTTCCATTCAAATAGCAAACAAGTTACACAAAACATGGCATCTCTATAGAACATTCCAAAGAGACAACTCACCAAGAAAATTACAGGGAAACCCTAAAAATAAGAAAATTTGCAGAAGGTCCCTGTAACCACCATCTTCACGCCCATGGAAATCAGCCGCCACCTTGCCATAGCATCAGGTGGAGGAGAGAAACCCAGGACACCTACTTGCCACGATCCAATAAAGCGCCATGACAACCTTGCTGCGTTACGAACCTCGGAATAGACGTGGTCGCGAATGACGACGTGCTTGACGACGTGGATCGTCGACCGGGGAAAATGCCCACGCCCTTGGATCTCGGCCCTGACGTCTTCAAACAACTCTGCTGCTGGAGAAACTGCAGACCCGTTGGCCTTCTTCCACTGCCCAACTTTCAGGCGAGCCACCTCCTGGACGAAGTCGACGCTGCTACGCCGATCATCCCCTAAACAGAAACTTCCCGCTCCTTGCCGGCGATGGAGAAGACACTGACGTGACGCAGACAGAGACGGAGAACAAACTCCCGAAGCGAGGTCTCCGCCATGGCCTTGATGGCCTTGCCTGGAACAACTACGTCCACCGGTCTGAAAGCACGGTGGAGAAACAAGTCCGCAGCAGCTCGCGGTCGTAGCGGAACGCTGGCGAGTCGGTGGCCCGGAAGACATTATTCATGGTGGCGACGTTGGCACCGCTCGTCACAGCAAGAAACCTATCCTACCTACTATAGATGAAAGGAGCCGGGCTCCCCCACCCTCCTGCCGCCGCCGGAGCGACGAGAGGAGAGACGGAGAGTCCGCTCCTAAGCGGCCGCAGAAGTGGAACCGCTCGCCTCCGCTTGCCTGTGTTGGAGAGAGAGGAACCGTCGCTCGATTGCCTGTGATGCAGTGATAATCAATCCCCAATCCTCTCCGCATCGCGAATTGTTCGTCTCCCATTCAAGATCCGCTGCACCGTTGGTTCCACAGCGCCGTCGCCGCTGCCGTTTCGCTCCAGGCCAGGATGCGGAGCCGCGCAGAGCCGCCGCCCATCGGTGTTCCGCCAATCGAGGACACGGCTGCTGCACGGGGACCTCGCCGCCCCTGTCGATGATGCAGGAGTTGAGCCCCAACCGGCGAGGACGCGGGAGGCTCACCGCAGCCGGCAAGCGGTTTATCTAAAATAAAAATACCTAAAATCTAAAAAGTGGCCGCCCACTAAACAGACAGAACGAGCGGCCGGCTCAGAGCCGCTCGATCTCGTCCCGATTGACGGCGCGGGGTGTCCAGGTGTCTCCTGGTTGGATGGTGGAGCCGCGCTGCTCAGACTCGCGCGTGGACCGGTCGCCTGGTCCGATTGCACCGCGCCGCGCGAGATTAACTCCCCGTGGGACCCACATGTCATAGAGAGTTTAGGCAGTTCCCCAGCGTGTTAGCTGTCATGCGTAGTGGGCGGCGGTTTTGAATTTCGTGCCATTACCCCGTCCATTCCCCACCTATCGTGCCGCATTCCTCCTCTTTCCCCCTTGCTTTCGCTGTTGGTTGGTGCTCGGAGACGGTTCCAAATCCGCCGGGTTGTGGTCGACGGCGGGGCGCGCCGCGAGGGTCGTCGTCCGCGGCGGCACAGATACTGCTCCTATGCGCGTTCCCCGTTCTTCATCCCTGCTTGTTTCTCCACTCGCCCGCTCTCCTTTTTTTCCGGTGAGGTCGCACGTTTTCCGGTGAGGTCGCGGTCGTTGTCAGGGAGGTCGAGGTAGAGGTCGAACTCAAGGTCGCGGTCGGGGTTAGGGAGGTCGAACTCATTTTCCGGCGAGGTTGAGGTCACCCCCGCGAACTACTTCGTTTGGGAAACTGCCCGATTGGCAAGGGTGGGCTAGGGTCGTGCTCATCCCGTCGTTTTTGCGTTGCAATAGGGAGGGAGCTCGTGCATCTACGTACGGGATAAGTGGTTCAGGGAGGATGAGTGGTTCGCGGCGATAGAGCCTCGTCTTTGGATTGTAGCCTCGTGGTGGATCTGGTGTTTTTGATAAGTGTTTT